GCACCCCCCCCCTCCTCCCCCCCCAGAGCAGCAGAACAGAAATTTTGTTAATTCATCCATCCATTTGGATACCAGGGTCATAGGGGGTTCAGAGGCTAGAGGTACAATGCAGGAAACTGTCACAAAATGCAACCAGAGATATTTCTTCTGATTTTTTCACTCATTTTATGTGCCCTGGAATCAAATCCCTCATATATCATATATTGCCTATAAGCCTGCTCTGATGTTACTCTCTCTCATTTATAGTTCAGCTTAAATAATATCTAGATTGCCCACTTGATAGAAGATCTTCTAGCCCTCAGGTTAACTGTGTTAAAACTGGTTCATACTTCTTTGCATGTAGACTGTATGATCAGCATGTGTAACGGACAAGGAACTGTTCGTACTTTTGTGATCAAGTCTGCATAAAATTTGCAGATTGGAACATGTGCAGAATGCAAGAGAGGAACAATGGTACAAAATGTACTCAATTTTGATACTTGAGTGCATCAATTTTCATATGTAAAAGTATAGATATCACACCAAAATGCTACTGAAATAAATGTTCTAGTAAAATATTACTCATGTAAAAAATGTCTGGTTATAATACTTAAGTAATCAGTACTACGTATTCAAATCTATTGATTTTACCAACCTATCCTTTTAAATTCATTCAATACAGGTTTGAATATAGCAATGCAAGTTACAGTGCAGCACAATAAGGAAATGTGAGTCATATGATTCTTTTTTTTCAGAAAAAGTGGTGAAACTTGTCAAGCTTGCTGGTGCAGATTAGTGGAATGATATTTTTATTCAGTGGAAAATGAAACGATTGAAAACAGGCCAGATATAATAATGAATGATCAACATTTCAAGGGCCAGTAGTTTTTGATGTCTTATTTGTGGTGAATAATCCTTGTTGTTGTTGTTGTTGTTGTTGTCATTATTATTATCATTATTATTGTTATTACATACACATATTGCGCAAGAATATCACGATTTAAGTGAAAAAAAAAATGTGGTAGGTACCTACATGCATGTAAAATCTTGGTGCTGCAGGGTTAGGCCCCAAATAAAGTGCATTAACGTCAATGGTGTCATCTGCGTATGCAAATGTCCGCAGGCATAGAAGTATGAATCGGCCTTCAGGTACCGCTGCTCTACATTGAATGCTTCTACCTTCTGCTGTGGTCTTTTGTGGCTTATTGCATGCCACATCAAACTGGCAAAAAAACTGGTTAATCCCGTCCAACAGGGAGCTATCAGGTACATACCTACACTTGGCAAGTACCTGGTCATTCACTCGAAGTTCATCTTAGCCGCACTTATCCCTAGTTGACTCCTTGATAGCATGAATGTTTGCAATGTGTTATTTGCCTCACTGGTACCTTACACCAAACAGCAAAGTCTGCTAAATAAACTCAACAATTTTAACTCAACAGTCCAAAAGCACCCTCATTCTAGATGATTTACTGGAGATTTCAGATAAATCTAAATATGTTAAATGTAATATACTGTATATATATATGTATATATATACTGCTCAAAAAAATTAAAGGAACGCTTTGAAAACACATCAGATCTCAATGGGGGAAAAAATCATGCTGTATATCTATACTGATATGGACTGGGTAATGTGTTAGGAACGAAAGGATGCCACATTGTTTGATGGAAATGAAAATGATAAACCTACAGAGGGCTGAATTCAAAGACACCCCAAAAATCAAAGTGAAAAAATGATGCGATAGGCTGGTCCATTTTGCCGAAATTTCATTGCAGCAACTCAAAATCGTACTCAATAGTTTTTATGGCCCCCACGTGCTTTTAGGCATGCCTGATAATGTCGGGGCATGCTCCTAATGAGACAACGGATGGTGTCCTGGAGGATCTCCTCCCAGATCTGAACCAGGGCATCACTGAGCTCCTGGACAGTCTGAGGTGCAACCTGGTGGCGTCGGATGGACTGAAACATTATGTCTCAGAGGTGTTCCATTGGATTTAGGTCAGGCGAGCAAGGGGGCCAGTCAACGGTATCCATTCCTTCATCCTCCAGGAACTGCCTGCATACTCTCGCCACATGAGGCCGGGTATTGTTGTGCACCAGGAGGAACCCAGGACCCACTGCACCAGCGTAGGGTCTGACAATGGGTCCAAGGATTTCATCCTGATACCTAATGGCAGTCAAGGTGTCGTTGTCTAGCCTGCAGAGGTCTGTGTGTCCCTCCATGGATATGCCACCCCAGACCATCACTGACCCACCACCAAAACGGTCTTGCTGAACAATGTCACAGGCAGCATAATGTTCTCCGCAGCTTCTCCAGACCCTTTCACTTCTGTCACATGTGCTCAGGGTGAACCTGCTCTCATCTATGAAAAGCACAGGGTGCCAATGGTGGACCTGCCAATTCTGGTATTCTATGGCAAATGCCCATCGAGCTCCACGGTCCTGGGCAGTGAACACAGGGCCCACTAGAGGACATTGGGCCCTCAGACCACCCTCATGAAGTCTGTTTCTGATTGTTTGCTCAGAGACATGCACACCAGTGGCCTGCTGGAGGTCATTCTGTAGGGCTCTGGCAGTGCTCTTTCTGTTCCTCCTTGCACAAAGAAGCAGATACTGGTCCTACTTATGGGTTAAGGACCTTCTACGGCCCTGTCCATCTCTCCTAGAGTAACTGCCTATCTCCTGGAATGTCCTCCATGGCCTTGAGACTGGGCTGAGAGACACAGTAAACCTTCTGGCAATGGCACATATTGATGCACCATCCTGGAGGAGTTGGACTCCCTGTGCAACCTCTGTAGGGTCCAGGTATCACCTCATGCTACCAGTAGTGACACTGACTGTAGCCAAATGCAAAACTAGTGAAAACAAACTGTCAGAAAAGATGAGGAGAGAAAAATGTCAGTGGCCTCCACCTGTTAAACCACTCCTGTTTTGGGGGTCGTCTCATTGTTGCCACTCTAGTGCACCTGTTGTTAACTTCTTTAACACCAAAGCAGCTGAAACAGATTAACAACCCCCACTGCTACTTAACGGACTAGATCAATATCCCAGAAGTTAAACTGACTCAATGCTATACTCTGATAAAAAAGTGTTCCTTTAATTTTTTTGAGCAGTGTATATATATGTATACCTGCTCCATTAAACTGTGTTATATTTATGAAATAAACCTATTAGCTCTGATATGAAAGCAGCGCATTCTTGTGAGTGGTCATGTAAGACCAGGAGGCCCTTGCAAATATCTTTCTCTGGCAGTTTGATATCTCGGCTTCCATAGCGTCTTCCAGAGGGTGCAGCAGCCCAAAGTGTCTAATGTTTCGTGTCGCCCTGCTGTATCTGCCCCTCAGGGTAGGTTGAGACACGGCAGCTGCCTAGGGTTTGATCAGCACATGGGGGCTCAGACAGACTCATGAAAAACAGAAATTAAATGAAAAAAACATATGCATCAAATTAAAAGGTTTATGTGCAAGCCGGCTCTAGCTATTGGCAGTTGCCTAGGGCCCCTGAATTACCTGCGTTATGGAAGGAAGTGCAATGATCATCAATTTTCTTGGAAGTGGGGTCTCCCAAGTAAAGCTTTGCCTAGGACCCCTGAAAAGATAGATCCGGCTCTGCTCCTCTGGGCTATTTCTGTTTGCACAGGTGAGTTCAAGTATGCAAATTAGCATGTTAGCCCACTGTTTTTCTTCCTTGCTTCTCGACACAAGCATTCTTGTGTCGGATTGCAATTGCTTAACCAGATGATTGGTGTTTCGATACAAATCAACAAGCCCACATCTCTGTGTGTTTTCTTCTCATTTCATAACAGTTCATCCATCCAATCAACTTCCATGTCAGAGTAGATGGAATCAGACCTCCAACGCTTGAGGCAACAGTGTGCCCCAGTGAGTTACTGTGATTAATTTGTAAAAGATACAAGATATCTGAATGATCAAACTTTTTGGACAAAGTACCACTTCAGATCAAGTCAAGTAACACATGGGTGGAAAAAGTTGCAGTGACCTGAATGCATTGCCATTGGAGCTGTTTAGCAGTTTTGCAATGTTTGCTAACACTAATCCTTCTCTCTGTATCATCATCAGTATCAATGCGGAGAGAATATTAAAAAAAAATTAAGTAACCTGTAACCGATTAACTAATTTTTTTTATCTCAAGTAATTTGACATTGATATCAATTTTATTTCCTATTCTTAGTATTTTTATGTGGTGCTTCGTGCTGCAGGAGTTGAGGGGGTGCCCCCCCTTCCCCCAGTTCTTGTTTACAAAGGGCAACACACAACTTTGTACTTAAGGAGCCACACAGATAGAATCAGTTTGATTCAGGCTTGTTGACTCAACAGGTTCCTGTTAAATATGTGAGCCAGTCACCCTGCTTTGCATCCTGTTTTTTATGCTTCTGGATACATTGAGCCTTAGCTTCAAGGCAGCATGAACACGCCTGTTTACTTATGTCATACATCCCACACTTACATCGCACTTCTTTTTACAACCACTGATATCCTTGCTCTCTATTTTTTACTTTTTTATGTTTATAATTATTTGAATCTTGCATATTATGTTTTTGTACTATTTCGAGCACAATCCAGAAAGCAGGTGGAAAAGCATTTCACAACACAGACTGATAATGTAACAAATAAAACTTGAAACTTGCATTTGTACACAAGACAGTCTTTTATGAGCTCTTGGTACTGAGATGCTTTATTTATTTGCCATTTCTACAAATACAAGTTCAGGCACATCTGGATACTTCACATCTTATTAAGATACAGACACAGATTTGTAAAGGTGCCAGCAAGTCTGGGGTCAGACTGCAGGGACAGCCAGTGCCAGTGTGCAGCACTCCTAGAGCAGTTGATTTGAACCTACAAACTTGAACCCAGAACAAAAGCACAGACCCCTGACCCACTGTTATAACTGACACCACAGAGGGTGCTATTGGATAGCGCAAACTGACAGAGGCAGTGGACAGCAGACAGAGGAACTGTGTAAGGTTACATGATGAGAGGGGAGGAGACAGGCACACATGTGGACTCAAAGCTGTTTATTGACCATTTTCACCCAAATTACACCAGGAATACAGGAAGCAGGCAGAAAAAGCATTTTACTACACATGAGTACAGCATATATTTGTGTGTGTGACAAAAAAAAATCAAAAAAGCTTGAAAAGACTTAAAAAGGAGCACACTCTGGATCTGGCTGGGGGCCGTGAGCTCACACACTGGGCCCATCTGCCCCCTCTTTTGGGGGTGGTTGTGGGGTATCCACCTTCACCTCTCCACCAGGCACCTTCTGCTCATCCTTTTGTCCTTCACAAGGAAAAATCATGAAAATATTAGAAGAGAGCGTGCTGAGAGCACCTTGGGGTGGGGGTGGGGAGGGGGGGCATGAGTGATGTAATTGGCTCTGAGAGCTTGGATGGGGGGGGGCTTACCTGGCTGCAGCGCATGCTCTAGGCTGTGGGGAGAGGAACAGAGAAAGACAGTAAAAGGTGTGCTTGGGGGGAACTGTTAGTTACAGACACCAGCTTCAGACTGACCAGCAACATGGCCTGTCATTTCAGCCAAACAGGTGAGGGGGTGTAAACAGGAGCCCACCTCTCAAACTCACTGTCGACCTCCTGTAGGAGCTGCTCATATTGGCTGATCTCAGCCTCCAGCTTGGTCTTTGTATTGAGCAGGACCTCGTAATCCTGCGCCTGACACTCAGCCTGGGTGCGAACTTTTTTCAGCTCCTCCTCCAGCTGGATGATGACCTGGTTGAGGCCGGAAAGGTCTTGCGCAATGTTGGCTTCAATGTCATTCAGCATGTTCTCCAGAGAGCGGTTCTGCAATGAGATGGGGAGCGCAAGTGGTGTGCTGGTTAATGACTCGTTCTAAATCTCAGATGGAGGCCTACTGCAGTAAGTTTCTGCTGATGTGCAGTGGGACAGCGCTATGCCCCCATGTGACAATGCCAAGGTTCCCAGCGTGATGCTCCCATATCGGGGTGCCAAGGTCCCAGGCCCGTACCGCATTGCCTGTCGTCTGCAGCTCAATCTCCACCATCCGCTTCTGCTTCAGAAGCTCATTCAACTCGGTCCTGCCCTCCTGCAGTGCATCCGTGTTGTGGGCCTCCTCGGCTTTCACAGTATCAAACTAGGAAGAGAAAAGGCTTGGGTTGGGGGGCTATATCATCTCAGTGCCACAGCAGGAGCTCTGCTGCTGCACCCATAGGGAAAGTGCTTAGTTACTAGGTGAAATCTGAATCTGATCAAGGAACAGAGCTGGAGCCACCATTTTGGGGGACCTAAGTGCCTTCTCCATTGCAAAATGCCATTGGCTCTGCCAGGTAGTATGACATCAGCCATACAGAACAGTGGGCATCAACACACCGTCCACAATCTCAGTCCGCAGTCACCGTCTCAGAATAAATGGGCAAAAGTTTGTACCTTTGCTTGTTACTGGAGCTGTACCCTTATAATTGTACTTTTAAAGGTACAGAAATTACCTACAGCTATGGGTACAATTGGCAGCCCCTTGAGGGTACAACCACAGCAAAGGTACAAATTTTTATCCTTATTTCTGAGAGTGCACAGGGCAGTCAATAGGACTGGCCCACAAAGTTGGACAGGCGAAACCATGCAGAAGGTGCTGATAAGGAGGCTGGACAGTGGCTTGCCTTGTTCTTGTACCAGGCATTGGTGTCCTCTAGGTTCCTCTGAGCAGTCTTCTCATACTGCTTGCGGACTTTGGCGATGATCTCGCTGAGGTCAGGAACCTCAGCGCTATCCACCTCCACGCTGATGGTGGACTCAGAGATCTTCTTGCACAGTTGCTCCACTTCCTGGGAGTGGGGGACAGGAGGGGGCAGTGACAGTGGTGAGAGGCCCTGTAAGCCATAAATACGATGGTCAGGTCTTTTAGGTGTCTTACCTCTTTATGTTTCTTCTTCAGGTAAACCAGATCCTCATTCAGTCCTTCAACCTGGCTCTCCAGCTGCATGTTAGTCAAGTTGGTGTCATCAATAATCTTGCGCAGGTTGTTGACGTCGAGCTCCACTATCTGCCGCAGGGCATTTTCACTATCGAACCTGCAGGGGGTGCGCAAGAGTGTAAGGAGGGGAGAGGAAACTTCCCGTGCGCTATACTTAAAGCTGTTTGTAAGACCTTCTGCTGTATTTAACTAAAATAGTTCTCGATATTTAAATTATACATTTGAATAGCGATATTTTATATTTATATGATGTGTTTTGCTAAAACATTAATAACATAAGGATCATATATTCGTGCTGTAGTGCTTCTATTCCCGCATTTCCGCTGAATTTTGAACATACTCTGGATTTTCAGTGTACTGTCACTGAACATACTACTAAATAAAAAAAAATCGAAATTTCACTGCTTGTACGAGTATATTAGAAATGACTTGGCTTAATTCGTCAATTTGAATTTACATTCGCTTTCACGTTATATTGATTTCAAGCACGTTTTTTGGAACACCGAGTGCATTCGATGCACTCCACACGACGCGTCAGTATACCGTTATTCCTATTTAGTGTTAACAGGTAAATATGCGTGTTTGCACAAAAAATAATCTGTAGGTCATGTGGGCGGAAAGGAGAGCCTGACTTGACTTTGAAGTCCTCGGTGGCCAGCTGGGAGTTGTCCAGGTCCAGCATGAGTCGCGCCTTCCCCATGGTCAGATCCCGGACCTGCAACCGAAAAGCCGCCGTTACCCTGAGAAGAAACCCCAGAGTGCACAATAATAAGCACTAAACTTTCTGCTTTCTGTCACTTACGCGCTGTCTATAAATAATGTTGTTTCGGCTGTCAGTCACTATATAGCCTACTATATGTCCAGCAATACTTTTAAGAAGCTCAAAATTATAATTTGTATTTCTTAAAATAAATGCCACCAAGTATGAGTTGTGGTAATGACGCAGCAGGTCATGTTCCCAATATGATATCAGCAACGGACAGCACACATTTTCATTAACCATTTAATGAACCTGCTTGCGGAGGTCGCCCAGCCGAGGCTCGAGGGTGTCCCAGTCGCGAGCGCTGGCGATTCCCCGCTGGTTCAGCACGTCCTGTATCTGCTCCTCCAGTCTGCCGTTGGACTGCTCCAGCTCTTTGACCTGGTTCAGATACTCAGCCAGACGGTTGTTTAGACCCTTCATGGTTTCCTTGTCATCAGGTCTCGGACTCCCGGGAATCTCCGGCCGCGCGTTTGAAAGCACAGGTACGCTGGCCGCTACGGGCTTGGAACCCGCGTCCCCGTACAGGCTGCTGGCCCTGGATACGATACCCCTTTGCTGCGGGTTTCCCGCGGCGCTGGCGCTGGAGAAGTTTCGGGGGGCATTCGTGTTCTTCGCTGGAAAAGACATGATGGTGCACGTATGTAGTGGCTTGGATTCAGAAATCGACAGTATGACCTGAACAGGTAGGCTATGTGAGGAGGAAGGATTATGGATTTGCATTTATAGTTGCTTCATGAATACCGTTCCGATTTGGGCTGGGCTTAGGATACTCCTGTCAGGCTATAAGTACTAATGCCAACCAATTTCTCAACAAACCCTCAAACACCTCAAAGCTGCTTGTACCGTACATCTAGTACAGACGTCACTTATATGTCTATGTGTTTATTTACTACGTGCAGTTGATTTGTATTTTATTATTATATTGTATTTTTGTTATATTTCTTTTTTGTGTGTACTTTTTGTTTTGCTTGTGAGTTTTAAGTGTCAGGTCTTCATGCCATGACCAGCTCCAACACAAATTCTTTGTAATTTTGTACATCGGCAATAAAATTATTTTGTTCTGATTTCGGGGTTCATGCTACTCTTCGTTCCACACAATAATTTCATTTTAGAATCATATTATTTAACGCGAAGACACAATAAAATAATGAAAGAAGAAATATATAATAAATAAACATGTAGACGTATAAATAAGTGAGACAATCAAGGATAAGCTTATGAATTCGGTAAGAGTAACTATATAAAATATAGTGTGTGAATGAATATGGAAAGATCTCATCAGCAGCTAGAGGACTTAATGCGCGGAGAGCTCGCAGATCGTCTTCTCCGTACGTGGCAGTTTTTCGTATTCATTTAATTATTACATAAATCAAATGTGGGAAGTATATCTCTAAATCAGTACACCACATAGTACTGATCCATTTTGCACATCCACACATATGTTTCTTGCACTGACTCTAGACATTCAGGACATTCATTGACACTAGTGGTCACTGCACACCTGCACATTCGTGGACATTAGTTATTTATTCTATTTTATTCTGTTTCCCTGATGCACATAAGTCACTTTAAATATGAAACTTTCAGGCATATTTGCACAGCCCCTGGACATTTCTATTTATATTCACTTCATTCCCACGCAAAAATTCCATAAATTCTATATTTTCTATATTGAACAGCTAGGTTTTTCTTATATTTTTCTTATATTGTATATTTTGTATTGTACAGATATTTTATTCTCTCGTAGCTAAATTTACTTTCTATTTTCGTTTTCATATTTATTTCCTATTAATAGTCTTTTAATTTAAGGTCACGGGCAGTCGTCTATGCATATCGTACTGTGTATGACTGTGTATGTGACAAATAAAAATTTGAATTTATACGCATTAAATGATAGCTAATTGCTACATTTATTTCATTCCAGTGGTTAGTACACATAGGCCTATAAGTGAACTAAGCTAGATCAAAATATGTGCAAAGATGTGGGCTAGCAGAATAACATTATTTATTAAATATTTTTTCCGGCTATTAAAGGTATCATCACGGTGCCTTGAGCGATACACCTGTGATGGGTGTGTTTACAGCGCTCACGCAAGCCCCGGCGTGTGTGACACCCCGCTATCGCATGGTTTCTTTGAATAATTCATGAGGGCAGAGTTCCGCGCTGCCTTTAAAACGCAGGTGACTGCCACTTTACCTTCAGCTTCAGCTACATCCTGTCCCTCAAAGTCTTAAGCTGCAAGCTGGAATCCAGGTTCCTGAGCCATTATGGCCTACAGTAGTCAGCCAAACCCAACCTTGAACGGAGGCCCGGACAACGAGGACCATGACCAGAAGAACAAGGAGAAGCAGCAGATCGTGTCTCTCAACGACAGATTCGTGGCCCGCATTAACAAGGTACAGCTATTAATGTCCCTGGACGTTATCCCTTAATTACTATGACTGCACTTTGAGGTTTTAAATAAACTACAGCGCAGTACTTTCGTATATTAAATACATCATATGGTAATATGGTTACTTACATCAACAGTACTATAACAGGCTAGTAATGTAAAACATATGCTTGTTGTTGTATTGTATAGACGTACGTACGTATGTAAGTATGTATGTTATTTATGTCATTTTGGAGACTTCTGGTAAACCAGTTGCACAATGACAAAATTATCCTTCATCCTCAAACTGCTCACCGTACGCCTAGTCCACGCCTGGAGTGGCCAACCGGGAGGCGCTTAGCTGTTGTACCAGTCAGAAACAAAATTATTCGACAGGTTTAAAATTAAGCCTGTCGGAAACAAAATTATTTTATGTTTAAAATATTCCACAACAACGCTTTAGAATATTAACCAGCTAGTTTTCTCACACACATAACAGACAGATCATGAATGCTTTGCATAAAAAAATACGCAAATGTGCGGCACGTGCGTGTCCTATTGCTTGAGCGCAGTGCGCGGCTGCGGATGTTCCACAACTAATCCTTTGTTATTACTGATCACTGGCGTGACTGAGAAAGTCAGCCTGCTTAAACAGTTTAATATGCGATTTCTTATTTAATTTGATTTACTCTAATTCAATTAAATTTATTTTTATCAGTAATGTCAATAATACCCTAAATTCATATAATAAGACTTGAACTATGGCATTATTTATCAAAGTTCCCCCCGAATGCAGACAAAATGGGCTGGAACGGGACATAAAAATCCCGGGATAAATATTAGTCCCACTCCGTGCCTGGCCAGTGGCCTGTACTACGAAGCGGGGTTACTGGCTTATCGGGGTAACTTGTCGAATTTAAGGTAGTCTGGGCAAAATGTAAGTCGCTCGTGAGAGGTTCATCTAGCATCTTCCCTGATGCCCCAATGACCTTTCCTGATGCCGTCCTGATCTTGAGAGTTTTACTTGGTTGGTCTGACATCTGACCAAGATCTGATTGGTTGTCTCTCTGAACTAATCATTTTGCTTTCTGCCCTCATAACATAACGTTTTTGTTTAAATAAAACTCCCATGAGCAAGAGATTTATTTACTAAATGAATTAGCTACTACCTAGAGAAACAGTATGAAAGAAAATACTGAGTGAAAGAAATGTGGTAAACGAGAATTAAAGGTATTAAATAAAATAGTATTAATAAATAGTAATACAAATAATAATAATCAATAAATTTCAATAATTGCCCCAGTTGATAAAATTTGATATATTTTTTAGCCCTACTGGCAGAGCTCTTTCAGAGAATTAAAACTAATGATTTAAAAAAAAAATCTTAATGCCGCACAATCGTTTTACTGTCACTACATCACCTGCTACATTGAGAGACACCATTTCTGTTTGAAAAGGTTTTACTTGCTCACAAGAGCATAATGGGAGACAACTGAAAACGTGTAAATCTGTTTTCATTTGCCGAGTTATAATGCCGGTTTTATATTTAATTTCTGTCATCTTTAATTTTTTAACATAAACTTGTGTTCAGTATTGAATCTATAATACTTTATGTATCTTAGGTAGTCTAAATGTCATTATGTCTTGATTAGCCTAATTCACCTCTAGTTATCACGGCTGGTATTTTACATTCTGAAGAAGGTGTAAATTGATATGTTTAGAAAATGTGAAAATGTATTTCAGTCTTAACTGTATATTCGCAAGGTTCCTCAGAGCGAACGCTCCCTCTTATGGTGAATTGTAGTATTGTTTGTCTTCTTTATTTTGGTCACATCACATACGTGAGCGTGAATAAAATATACGTGCAAAATATATTTTGTTGAATAATTTCATCTTTGAATGAGATTTATTAAAATACACATCACTTTTTTTGTTGGTTTCAGGTGCGCCAGCTGGAGCAGGAGAACAAGAAGCTGAACACCAAGCTGAAGATGCTACTGGAGCAGGAACATTACACGGGTAAGGTGGACGAGATTGTGGATGAGCTGAGTTTCTCGCTCCTCAAGCAGATAGACTCCCTGGCTCAGAATCAGAGGAAGCTGCAAGTGGACTTGAACAGAAGCCAGGAGGGGTTGCGGCAGCAGCGGATGAAGTGAGTGTACCTGCTTCCTGGTAACTGAGTGGGTGTGGCTGGGTGAGGGGGTGGGACTGATTTTGTAATCTGATATGAAAACACGCAGGACAGCTTTAAACACTATTTTTTGCCAGGTGCACTGTGGAGATTCCTTCTATTACGTAATGCATAGGCCTAAATGATGACAATATTCAAAACAACTCCACAGACCAGGGGAGGGAACACAAAAAGAGGCCAGCATGGTGTCAGTGAGCTGTCTGCTCCTTCTTCCACATGTGATGATGGTGGATTTCAGTTTGTAACCCAGGACTCTTGGGTCTGACAGGTATGAAGATGAGATCCAGAAGAAGGCCGACCTGGAGAATGAATTTGTAGTCTGCAAGAAGGTTGGAAAAGCTCTTATCTGGTGTTCTGTCACATGTTCCTGTTTCTGAAACATCTCAGAAAGAGAGAACCCCCTTAATTTGTGCTTTTCAGGATTTGGATGAGGGTTACCTTAAGAAGACTTCCTTGGAGCAGAAGGTGGCGGAGCTGACAGAAGAGCTGGACTTCCTGAATAGAGGCTACCAAGAGGTGCATATCAATTCCAGGCATCCAAGAGCAGCTAGTGTCCCCCTGATTGCTTTCCTGGGTTTCTTTGACCTTACCTCTCCCACCCAACTCAGGAAATCAAGGAACTCCAGTCCAAAATCCAGAATGCCACTGTGGTCCTGGAACCAGACAACAACCGGAGTCTTGATTTGCAATCGATCGTACAAGAAATCAAGGTCCAGTATGAGGATATGACAGCTCGCAGTCGGGTCGAGGCTGAGCAGTGGTACAAGAAGAAGGTTAGTAAGTTCTTGTGCTATCACTACAGATCACCCATTGTCTCAGGAACCTCTCATCCAATCCTCTTACAGATCCTCTCTCTCTCTCCCTCTCTGAGAGCATGTGCGAGAGTTTTCATACTCTGATTCTTCCTACAGCTGAATGACATGGCAACCAAGGCACAAACGAATGAGCAGGACATGCAAAATCTGAAGAAGGAGATCAGTGATATGGTCCGTCTTGTCCAGAAGCTCAATTCAGATCTGGACAGCTTGAAGAAGAAGGTAAGGAGCCCCCTGAGCTAAACAAACCTGTATCCTCTGGGTTGCTTTCCCAGAGGTGAGAGGTAGGACCCCTACCCTCATGGGGCACCACTTTCTTCTCTCACAAAGTCTACACAGAGGCTGTAAGGACTGGGTAATATGTAGGGCTCTATGATTTCTCTGATGCGGAAAATGTGGATGGAATCACAGAATCCATGCATGAAAATGGTGTACTTATAAATGTGTAATTTGCTGATATTCTGTTGACATTTTAAACCTATAAATTTGTTCACATTTTGCGATTGTCCAGATAGTTTAAAATACCCTTGCAATAGCCATACTCAGAGACTTTTTAATAGGAAGGACTAAATGAGTACAAGGATGTTGCCTAGTAACCATAAGGCACATTTCCCCTGCAGAAACTCAGGGCCCAAACTCACCCAATGTTCAACCCACTTCATATGCTTAAATTTGATATGATTTAATGTTATTCCAGCTGACCCCTCTGCAAATTACTTGAATATCATTAAAAATATTTTTGTTTTTGACTCACCACTGTCGGGTTCTAATAAAAAACTGAAACATGTCTATGAGCTGCTATATGATGGAAATGCAATACCAACAAAGAACCCAGAACTAAATTTGTATAACTGAAATTGAAAATAATGGATACATGCAATAGACACAGTGTGCAACATGTTATGCTCTGAAAATTAAGAGACTCTGTCTCCTTAAAGGGTCATTTTTTCAGCTTTACAGCTTATAAAAACTTAAAATCCACAACCGATAAAGACTAGGGAAACAAACTGAAACGTGAACTAAATGCAGAGGACTAATGACAACAACCAGAAAGATGGCCAGCTGATCACACGGGGGATCCACGCGGGGTTAACGAGGGGGCGTGGCACACGGAAGGAGTGGCCGATCGAGGCAGGACACATTGTTTGGATACATTTATTTTCTTACTTTAAAAATTACTGTCTTGATAAATGTGCTTACATGCGTTTAGTACAGTATATACTCTTCTTGTTTCATCCGGTTCATTTTGTGTTTAAATGCTAAAAAAAAAAAAAAAAAAAAAAAAAACTACTTCACAAATAGTAACTTGTGCCCAGACAGTGTTTATCTTCTGTCAGGGATGGTCTGGATATGTGAGTTTTCTAGTTTTGCCCACGCTGTGACCTACATAAACTCCAAACATTGATTAAATAAAGTAGGGAAAGGCTATCGGCTCGGCCCATCATACCATCCCCTTCACAGAATCTGCCCTGCCAGACAGCAAAGACCACTCCTGCAGTCAAGGGCAGGAAATATAGATACGTTCGTCCAGGGAGGGAGGGTGTGTGTGTTTGTGTGTGCGTGTGTGTGTGGATTAGGTTTATATTGCTTTGTGGGGACCAAATCGCCCCACAATGTAATAAAAACCTGTTTTCTGACATTGTGGGGACCATTTTTCATGGTACCCACAAAGACCCGAATCACAAAAGTAAAAATGCAGAAAGTCTCGTATTTTGTTTAGTTACTTATGGTTAAGGTTAGGGATGGGTAGGTTGTCATGTTAGGATTTAAAGTTTTCCCCATGGAAGTGAATGAAGAGTACCCGCAAAGATATTAATACAAATGTGTTGTGTGTGTGTGTGTGTGTGTGTGTGTGTGTTCAGAGTTAGACCTACCCACTGCATTAACTATCATGTCACTACTGTACAGGGAGTAAATGTGCTTAAAACAAAAATTGTAAATGACCTCTTCTGGCATATTATTATAAGTGTACTTCACTTTGTGTGTTATACCAGAGTGCATGCAGTATCAGTCAAAAGTTTAAGTGCATTTCGGTGTAATTTTCTGGGGCCGGGAATCAATTAATTGGTTTTCCATTATATCTTATGGAGAAAATTCAATCAGAACTCGAAATTTTAGGATTCGATCCTGAGTTCTGAATGGATTAAGTTTGAGTTCTGAGGTACCACTGTAGTAGCATGTGGTGTGATCCGCCAACTTAACCATCCTTCTTGTGTGCTTGTTGGGCGGAGGTTTCTTAAGAGAAAACCATAAGATTGGTTGGAATTGTGTTCGTTTCTGTGATGTGATAGGCTGATATATGCTATCAAGCTATGCTCCATATCGATGATTTATTATGTTATTTAAATTTTATATGATGATAACATGATACATTGTTTATATCACCCAGTCCTAGATAGCCCTACTAAGCTCACAAAACCTGGTGTACAAAAATGAATTACCACTTATTCACCCCATGTCTGCTCCAGTGAGGCTGCACTCTGTCTCCACCATCCTCCGTGACATTAATACTCATCTCTCCCTTTGTCTTCTCTGTTCATTGCTCTCTCTTGTCCCTGCACACATGTGGGCTTTCCTCTCCCCATTTTTTTCCTGTTTGACCCCCTTTCCTCCCCCAGAGAGACAACCTGAATGCAGCCATCGAGGCAGCAAAGCGCAGGGGGCAGCAGGCCCATGAGGAGACGCTGCAGGAGATTGCCAACCTGCAGGACGCGCTGAGCCAGGCCAAGCGAGACTTGGTACGGCATGTGCGCGAGTACCAGGACCTGATGAATATCAAGCTGGCCCTGGACATTGAGATCGCTACCTACAAGAAGCTTCTGGATGGAGAGGAGTTCAGGTAAGCCAATTCAGAGAATAAGGTAACAACCCAGAGATCACAATTATGATTACTGATTGCAGAGTGCATTGCAGGGGCTCAAATTTAACCTTTCAGTCCGTGTTATACAGGTTTCCTCCAGCATGCAATTAGGCTTACAGGCACCTTGCAGACACTGTTTAGTCAAACTCCAGACACATAGGCAGGATTCAAAAGCCCCAACGCAGGAGGTATGAGGCAGCAGCACCACTCGCTGAGGCACCATGCTGGTCATTTCCGATTGTATTACGTTATGTAGTGGTATTTGTGTGGATGTTTGTTTGGAACATGCCCCCATTTGGCAGATGCCTTGTGCCTGTCTGATTCTCTCCTTCTCTCTGTCTCTTCAGACAGCGCCGCCCCATGAACTACTATTAGCAAGACTGGGCTACGACTCACCTACTGTCCATAGACAGTCTCTGTCCCCAGGAGGTTTCTGTGCCTAGCCAGTGTCTGTCTCTAGCTGGTTTCTGTCCTCACTCATTATCCTGAACTTCATGTTTTATCTCCCTTCACCCGTTTCCCATGTTCTCCACCTCAGCTCAGTGATTTTGCCCTTTTGCTCGGTGTTATGTGGTCACTATTGGCTGGAATGTTCTGGAGTATTTTAATTAGAATTCTGCCTTGAAAGTAGTTTCTGAATGGTGTTTTTAGCTTTTGGGGGATGATGTGTGGGGTATGGGATTTGTTTTGTAGTTTTTTTTTTTTTTTTTTTGCTGCTGATTATATTGTGAAGTTTCAATTAATTGTTACTCCAGAATAGCTCCACTCTTTCAAAATAAATATATATTCTCTGAAAGTGATGTGTTTATCTCTTTTTATATAAGTCACAACTTATATTCTGATATGTGGTTGCTACAAGATACCTCAGAAAGTATGAACAATGTTACCACAGCTGTATCCTATGGTTGTGTATTTGTCACATTTCACTTTAAGTCCAGTGTAAACTAGGACCATCCCTTTAAAGCTTTTGTGCCCCTGTGTAAAAAGGCCCTGGCTTGTCTTTGGTCACAGTTGAGCATGGTTGACATGGCCAAACTTTGATGCAGCATTGGTCAGGTAAGACAAGAGCTGAAGGTACCTGAGAATTTAAACCATTAGGGATCTGTGGATGGCATGTAAGTACACGACACATTTTTGTAAGAATACCTTGTATTTAAAACACATCCTAAGGAGTGACACTGAGGCTGTTTACATCAGGCAGCACTGACTCCATTAACTAAATGCAAACTGTCCAAGTCAGTCATTTTCACAGAGCTCCTATCTGCGGCACATATCAAGGGAGACTTTCCCCAGAGTATCATGCTGGTGGCGCTCATGAACCAATGATTTGGTTTGGTTTTTCTGTGTTTGTTTGGGTCAGTCATAGTGAAGATTCAGATGCTTTTACTTCCACCTCTGTGCATAAAGAGCACGGCCTACGGTGCTGCTTCCAGCAGGGGGGGGCAAAAGCGCAGATGACTGTTTAGGGTCTCGGTGTTTTCAGTACACAACAGCTTTATCCTGACTTGATCTCCAAAAAGATTTTTATACAATTTTTCATAACTTGACAAGCTGATTAAGATGAGCGTGGACATTAGAGGAGCTGCGAAATTACAGCTTCTCGCCCGAAAACCCAAACAACCCTATCCTATCTGCTTTTGGTTCCCCCCTAATCAGCATTGCCTCGGACAAGGCCGCTGCTGAATTAACAACTCCCCCGGAAGAACAAGGCAGTGAGACTCTCTTGCATTTCTCTCCCCCAATCCCAAGGACACCTGGATACACACACACATATACATACGTACAGATACGCACTTACCGCACCCTCCCCCCATCCCACGCCTTCGCCGCTTCATACCCCCAGCGTGAACAGGCGGGTCTGTGACCAGCGCCTCTGGCTGCAGGACCGGATGGCTGTTTGTCTATGCTGGACTACCTCCACCTCCCCATTTCCCTCCCCTGTTGCAAGTCACGACTTTTTATGTTGTAAGGTGTAGTGACTATGTGCTTATGTTGCTGAGGTGTTTTTTTCTATTCCTATATTGTACTCCCTACTGGAGTACAGTCTGGGGGCTGTTTTTTTATTCTCCTCCTCTCTCCTCATGTAATTCTGTTTTCTCTGTTCTTCCTGACCTGTCTACCCCCTATAATGTGATGTTTGTATATATATGGTCGGGTTGATGGCCAGTTTTTCGCTGGTACTTGTGACTAGTGACATGGTGTATTGCAACAGCAATAAAGGGTTTCATCAATCAATCAATCAATCAATATTTTGTAGGATTTTTTTTTCTCCGAGTCAGTCATGGTCGAGCAACACGTGTTGAATAATTCATAATTCAGCAAGTTATGGTCAATCCTCAAAATTATTACATATAATTAAGCCTAGCATCTGGGGAAATGCACACGTCAACTTCATAAGATTTCTTTAGAGAAAAGCAATGAGCTGACATCTACTGGGGCAGCTTCTCACACACAACATCATGAGTGAAGACCTGTGAAGATATCCATCTGATCTTATGGCAGTGAGAGACGCAACAATGTTCTCCAGAAATTTGCAGACCCTGGCACACCTCTGATGTCTGGGTAGGTGCTGCCAAAAACTGACTGATCTGAAATGTGTCTGATTGATAAATAAATACTGGGGTTAACAGTGACATTTGGAGCTTTCACTACCATATAGACCTAGTGCACATAGGGCTTCATTGCTGTGATAAACTGCCATTTCTTTTCTGCTAAATCCGTGGGAGACAGATACCAGAGACTGCAGAAAAATGGAAAATCCCTGGAAATAATTTATAATTTCTGAAGGTATTTCTCATTGGAGGCTTGTAAAAGTACAAGACGCCAGATGTTCTGAGCTGAGGACTATTAAATGTGACATTTTCAGAAAGATCCTAGAGGGCTTCATCTGTATTCCTGTTTACACTGCAATGCTGATACGGATCAGTGCCCCTGGGAACACAAGTGACATGGGAATCATGTCTGACTAATGGGGACTGTTTAAGCTCAGGTCAAGGGGATCCCACAGATGATCATTCCAATCGCAGCCAGCAGTGGGAGCTGCTGGGAACACAGTGCACTGCCAAGATGTTTACAAACAGTATGCCAGACTCTCACAAAAATGATAGAAAAACAATAAAAGGAAGAAACAGAACAAGCCGAGTACCACATGAAAACAGCTTTTCAGTCAGTTACAGAGAATATGTCATTAAAACTAAAACACAGTGTTTTATATTAGATACCCAAAAACATAAATATGAGATTATTTTACAATGAACATCTGTTAAAGTTTAGAAACTAAACCATGGATGTTATGGAATTACAGGGTCTCCTCTGGAAGCTCCAGTGAATCTGGGAATCACAGGGTCTCCACTCTGAATCCGGGAATGACACCTCCTCTGGGAACTCCAGTGAATCCAGTGATGACAGGATCTCCTCCAGGAGCTCCCGTGAATCCGGGACACGTCATTTCCGTTGCTTCCGTCCAATAAGGCTTCTGTCCGAATCCCTGACAACGGGGCTCAGCCCCGTCCTGTCCGCGCGCCCCCGCTACAGCACCCCCCCGCCCAGCGCTCCCGCATCCTGCGGATGAGCTCACGCACCGGGTCGGTGTACTGCCGGTTCCCCAAGCCCAGAACCACGGGGATGATAGCCATGCTGCCAATGCCAGTGCAGGACAACACGGTGTGGATGGTGGGCCCCACGGGCGGGCCCCCGTCCCGGCGCAGCAAGGCCACGGACACATGGAGATACACGATATAGGGTACCCAGCACACCAAGAAGGTGAGGGAGACGGCGGTGACGCAGCGAGCATAGCGCAAGTTCAGCCGTTGCTGTGCCTCGGAGGCAGCGGCTTGGCCGGCTGCGCGGTGCAGCTTACAGATACTGCGCAGCTGCCGGCGTGCAATGATCAGCACACGTGCTGTCATAGCTGCCACAGAGATGATAGCCGGCACAAGCAGGCCGTACACCTCCAGGTAAATGAAGTCTGTGGGGAAGATGACGCGATAGGAGCAGCTCTCCTCGGCCGAGTACACTGCCTCCTCCTCCACTGAGACATTCCAGTGGGCCGGTGTGTCGTTGAAAGCCACACTGGCATTGCCCACGCCGCCTCCACCCCCACTGTCACGCCGGTTGTTCCAGCCGAAGGCAGGCAGCGAGGCATAAAGCAGTGGGGGCACCCACACGACCAGCAGCGCTAGCGGGAAGCAACGGTGTGCCCAGAAGCGGCTGTAATGCAGCGGGCTGATGATGCAGACGTAGCGCTCATAATGCACCATCACCAGATTGGACAGGAAGGACAGGAAGAGGAAGTTGGGGAAGATGTGCACTAGCAGGCAGGCATCAAAGCCCAGGTCACGGTTGAGGCCCATCCAGGGGATGAAGGGCAGGGCCACACCTGTGCACAGGTCAGCCACCAGCAAGCTCAGGAAGAAGTAGTTGGGGGTGTTGTGCAGCTGCCGGTTACATACGATTCCCAGCAGGATGAGCAGATTGGCCAGTATGATGGCAGTGGACAGGGGCACGGTCATGCTGTAGATGAGGTGGCCCTCATCCAGAACTGAGGCACCGGATCCCATGACTGGGGGGTGGGGGGGCGTCAGGGTCGAAACCCACCTGCCAGGGTGGGTGGGGCAGATAAGGGAGAGCTGCCTTCAGGGGAGAAGGTGGCAAGTTATCACAATGACATTACTAACCTCAGAAGACTTCTGGAAAAAACAGGCCAGCATCATAACTTGACTTATTTAAGCCGATGTGTATAATAACAGCAGTGGGACACTGGTTCACAGACAGCCCTAACTGTGCTCTTAGCTATTAAAAGGCACCAGCGACCCAAGAGCTTCATCCTGCGTTCGCAGCAAGCACACCATACCACGGAAAAAAGTGCTTGACGGCCAGCTGTCCTGCATCTGGCGCTTACAACGGGAAAGCAACCTCTACATCTACTTCATAAAGGCAAAGGCGTTTCATTAGTGCGCACTTAATTGGTATTTACAGCACGAAAGAACTCGGTTTTAGAGTGCATTTACTCTCTCACATGTCACGTTAGTAAAATTATGAGATTTGGTAATGATACTAAGATGCTCACTGGAACAAATTTTATACGGTTGCCTATATTACGTCGTAAAATAGATATTAAACAGTATTAAACATTTTCGGTCGGTGCATCAGACACACCATGAAAAAAAGCTACAACAACCGTAGAGATCTATAACATTTATTCCGTTATAGCGCAATTAAGACGTTTTTTGTAACCTGTTTTAATAATTATACATCTTGTTTGATCCATCCTGCGTTATTCCCTGCCTTGCGCCCGTATTTTCTGGAAAAGGCTCCGGACTCTCGCGACCCTGTTTAGGACACGCGGGTGTAAAAACTGGATGGACAGATTGATGGACACATTTTGTTAATCTAGTGCCAAATAAAGAAGCACCAGACTATGCATATAATATAGTAAAGTGGGGTAAAGGCTTCACCTTAGAAACTCGCGCGTCTTGCCGCTCTGGTGCCGGTCAGCGACTGACTCCCGTGACTGGTCCTCCGACCCACCCTGTTCCTTGTAGGTCCGCTATCTCCTGTGTGTCCCAGCAGTACCACGGCCATCAAACATCTGTCCATGCAGCGGACGCAGTAGAGGTCGGGGATACAGCCGGGGGCGCCGCGTCTGCGCCTTAGCGGCGCCGAGGAACCGGCGCTTCGCTGTTTGTATTTAGCACGAAACTAAATGACAAATTATCAGATAATGCGGTTACTAATGACTGTTTAATGTCCCGCTTGGGAAAATGCGGCGCTCTGCCAAATCTCCGCAGAATGACCGATAAAAAGCCAAAGTTAAATTTGTTCATATTCAACTGAAAATAAGCGTTCATTTTATTAACGAGATATTTGTAGTAGTAATATTATACTGAACTGATGACGTTGAATCTTTAAAAAAATGCACATTTAAACAACCAAAATACGTTCTATGTAAAGACTTTTGATTACCGAAAATGAAGTGATCTCAGATCTGACTTATCAAGAAAAGCTTCATTTTTGTATCTTTTAGTACAGATACGGCTTTGTATGCACATCAAATCTGCTGAATTATGGTACGTGTATCTGTGTGTTTGGGTGTGTGCGTTTTTTTAATACTGTGACGTCCTGAGCGATTAAACACGGTAACTCCCTCCGTTTTAAGTGCTGATATGATTTGGGTCCACGCCCACGGGACATAACAAGATTTGTTTAGGAGCTAGCAAACGTGCATATATCATCCCTTTATTAAACACACAAATTAGGCTAACTGTGCTTCAAGAGGGACAGAGGCAGTGAATGATATGATCAAAACCCCTGGACAGATTCCCCATGTCACCCTATGCGGGGACTTCTAAATTTACCCAAATCCAGAGTTGTTGCTACAGGACAGGCTGATTACATTGTACATTGCAGTGAAAATGAAGTGAAAATAAAGAACGTGTATTCACAGGCAGTCCCCAGGTTACGAATGAGATTCATTCATGAAAGTCTGCCTTTAAGTTGAATCTGCAGGTAAGTCAGAAAAATAATAAAATAGTACAAAATCCATCCATCCATTATCTGCCGCTTATTCAGGATCAGGTCGCGAGGGTAGCAGTCAAAGCATGGACGCCTAGACCTCCCTATCACCAGCCACCTCCTCCAGCTCTACCAAAGGAATACCAAGGCAATCCCAGGCCAGCCAAGAGATCTTTCCAGCATGTTCTGTGTCTGCCCCAGGGCCTCCTCCTGGTTGGACATGCCTGAAACACCTACCCAGGGACGCGTCCAGGAGGCATCCGAGATAGTTGCCCAAACCACCTCAACTGGCATATTTTGATGCAGAGGAGCAGCGCCTTTACTTTGAGCCCCCTGAATGTCTGAGCTTCTCATCGTCTCTCTAAGGCTAAGCCTTGGGTGCAGTGTGTGGCTCAGTGGGCTAAACCAGTGTGCTGGTAGTCACAATGTCACCGGTTCAAACCCAGTCTCAGCACGTCTGTGGGTCCTTGGGCAAGGCCCTTTACACCCAGCTGCCTGGGTGCTGCCATCGGTGGCTGCCCTTCACAGACAACTTACTCTGCAAAAGGGCATGTTGAGGGAGGTGTAAAGACAATTTAATAACGTGATTATTATTATTAAGCCCAGACACCCTGTGAAGGAAATACATTTCTGCTACTTTTATTCGTATCTAATTGTTTTGGTCACTACCCAGAGTTCATGACCATAGATGAGTGCAGCAATGTGGATGGACTGGTAAATCAAAAGCATCACCTTCTGCTTCAGCTCCCTCTTTACCACAGCAGAAAGGTACAGTGTCTACATTACTGCCGATACTGCCCCAATCCATCTGCCAATCTTCTGCTCCTTTCTTTACTCACTCATGAATAAGACCCTGAGATATACTTAAACTCGTTTGCTTGAGTCAGCAACTTGTCCCCCACCAGGAAAGGGAAATCCACCTTTTTCCGGTTGAGAACCATTGTGCTGATCCTCATCCCAGCTGCTTCACACTCAGCTGCAAACCACCCCAGTGCATGCTGCAGGTCACCAGCCAATGACACTAACAGGACCCCAACATCTGCAAAAAACCAAGATGCAATCCTGAGGCCCCTGAAGCCGGACTCCCTCTTCCCCTTGGCTATGCCTTGAAATTCTGTCCATAAAAGTCATTCCATTTGTACAGACACTTGACAGCATGCAACAACGGACCCTGTACCCCATGCTCCTGAAGCACTCCCTGAGGGACACAATCATATGCCTGTTCCAAGTCCACAAAACACATGTAGACTGGTTGGGCAAACTCCCATGAATCCTCCAGTATCCTTGTGAGAGTGAAGAGTTGGTCCAGTGTCCCACAGCTAGGACGGAGTCCATATTGTTCTTCCTGGATGCAAAGTTCGACCAACAGGTGAAGGAACAGGAGAAGTTCTGCCGGAGGTGTGAGTTAAAGATCTCCCAGACAGGGGCCTCCACCAGATGCTCCCAGTATACCTTCACTATGCGTTTGGGTCTACCAGATCTATCCGGCATCAAATCAAACTCACCACCAGGCGGTCATCAATTGAGAGCTCAGCTTCTCTCTTCACCCGAGTGTCCAAAACATGCGGCAGCAGATCCGATGATACCGTTAGAAAATTGATCATCAAACTGCGGCTTGGGGTTCTCTGGTGCCAAGTGTATTTATGAACACCCTGATGTTTGGACATGGTGTTCTTTATGTACAAACTGTGGTTAGCACAGTTCAGATCAGGTAGGCCATTCCTCCTAATCACACCCTTCCAGGTTTCACTGTCATTACCCACATGAGCATTAAAGTTCCCCAGCAGAACAAGCAGAAGTGGCACCTTGCAACACCCCATACAAGGTCTCCAAGAAGGCTAGATACTCTGGACTGGTGTTCGGCACATAAGCACAGACAACAGTCAGAGCCCATCCCTCAAATCACAGTCAAACGGAGGCTACCCTCTCATTCACCGGGGTGTGCTCCAACATACTGGCACTGAACCAGGGGGCTATAAGTAGACCCACCCCTGCCTGGTGTCACACCCCGCATGCCTTCTTCCCCTGTGTTCCTTGTGGTGTGGTGCTAACGAGCCACACCTGTTCTTCGTTTAACCCTGCCTCTCGTTTCAGCCCTCGTGTGGATGATCCCTAGGTGCCTCTCGTCTGCTCCCTCCTCTATGGTGTATATAGTGCTTCCTCGTCCTGAGCTCCCCAGTCTGGTCATTGTATTGTTATGTGTGTGATATTGCTGCCTGCCTGTGCTCCCCAGTTAACCCTGCACCCTGTCTTCTCTCCCAATTCACCCTACCCCATTTTGACCCCTCATGGTCCTTTTCCTTTTGCTCTACTTGTTGTGTTTTATATAAATTGATTTGGTTATCCCCCCTTCATTTCCGTCCTTCCCGATACGTGACACTTGGCACCACTCCTGATGGGCAACTCCAGCCCCACTCCAGGAGTTTGGTTCCAGAGGCCAAGCCATGTATTGAGGTTTGCCCAACTATATATAATCAGCATCTCTCCGCCTTCTGCACCAGCTCAGGCTCCTTTGTCACCAGATAAGTTATGTTCCCTGTGCCAACAGCCAGTTTTTGTAGCCGACTATTGATTCGTCATGGCCCCTGCCTTTGACTGGCACCTGATCTACATTCCACCCCACCCACATGGCTCCCCTTGCAGGTGGTGTGCCCACAGGAGGGCAAATTTATGCTATCCTTTTTGGCTATGACCAGCTACCAGGTGCCCGCCTTGGTCTCTCCAGTTCATGCAGGGTGACATGGTCTATGCTATTATAACAATAATAATACAGTAATGATAAAAGTAACTACATATTGTCATGATCCGCTCCGTCCGCTCCTGATGTGTGCCACGCCCACCTCGTTACCTCGTGTTCCGCCCTGATTGTGATCACCTGAGTCCTGTTATGTCTAGCTTGTCTTTTGTATTTAGTCCTCGTCTGAGTCAGTCTTCCCCAGATCCGTCATTGTATTGTTT